CGAAAGAGCGCGCCTTCTTTGTTCGCGTCCGCGCCGTCCTGACCGCCGCGCTTCTCCACCGCCCAGTGTGGCAGCCGCTTCTTCAAATCGCTGTACGTGAACGGTCTCGCGATCCCCTTCGCTTGGGCCGCTTTGACCTGCGCCGCTGCGAAGCGCCGCGTGCGAACGCTGAGCGATGCACCGCGCGGGCGTGGGCGCCTGGCTGTCGAGCCAGTCGCACGACGCCCGCGACGGCCAGCAAGCAGACGGCAAGTCGCTGAGGCGGATGTCGCCCAGCTTCGCGCCGATGTCGACGTGCGCGGCCGCAGTCGGCTTGCGCGCGAGTGCGTCCACTAGCGCAGCGACAGGGTCATTCGACCCCCGAGCCGCCCCGTCGTCGCCGCGGGCGGCGGCCATGCGCCCCGCCTCGGCCCTGGCGGCGTTCTCTGCGGCACGCTTGACGGCGCGGTCGAGGAAGGCTACCTTCCCACCGTTGAGGCCGCCATTGTCGAACGAACTCTCATGAATGTTGAGCCCGACTAGGTCTTGTTCAACCTGGCACGCGCTGTGCGCGACAGACGGACCGAGAAAGCGCGTGGCGCTCGCCGTGACAGAATTCGCGTGAAGTGCTGCAATGACGTCGCGGAGGTATTCCTCGTCGCGCTTTGCGTGCGCGTCGACGCCAGACAGAAAAGCTTGCAAATCCGCCATGGGTGCGAGCGGGCGCCGCCTGTTAACGCGCATGACGCGCTCGCGTGCACTCTGTCCGCGCTCGGCTGCAGCTCGCGCACCGAAGCCGACCGCGTACACGCGGGCCTCGTTTGGCCACCTAAATGACGCACGCTAAGCGTGCACGGAGGGGGCGTAGACGTCGAATCGCGTCGGAGCAGCCCCCGCTCGGAAGTGCGCTCGCGCGCCACACGTGCGGCGTAGACGTCGAATTGCGTCTTAATCTGACCTCGTTCGGTCGGTCGCTCGCTATCCTCGTTCGGATGCGACGTAGACGTCGAATTGCGTCTAATCGGACCTACTTCGGTCGTTCGCTCGCTATCCGCGTTCGGATGCGGCGTAGACGTCGAATTGCGTCTTAGTTTGACCTCGTTCGGTCGTTCGCTCGCTATCTTCGTTCGGATGCGGCGTAGGCGTCGGATTGCGTCTGATCGGACCTTGTTCGGTCGTTCGCTCGCTATCCTCGTCGGCTGCGGCGTAGACGTCGAATTGCGTCTTAATATGACCTCTTTCGGTCGTTCGCTCCCACGTTTGGATGCGGCGTAGACGTCGAATTGCGTCTAATCGGACCTAGTTCGGTCGTGCGCTTGCTAACGTCGGACGGCTGCGGCGTAGACGTCGAATTGCGTCTAATTTGACCACGTTCGGTTGTTTGCGCGCGGCCCACGCTCGGATGCGGCGTTGGCGTCGAATCGCGCCTGCAACGACCTCGTTAGGCCGAAACGCAGACTGGGCCTAAATTAGGACCCGTTGTCACTAGCAGAATAACGGGAAGTCGTCCTGGCATCTTTTCGAGTCCGGCAAAACGACGAGGGAATCGGTACCTCGGGGGGGAGAGGAGAGGGAGGAAGGAACCTGACAACGGCGGAGGCGCCGCGCGCGGAAGGAAGGGGGAAGGAACCTGCACGAGGGGCAGGAGGGCAGCGCGGCGAAGACCGGCGCGCGCGCGCGCGCGGAAGCAGCAAGCAGGGGCAGGAGGCGGCGCAAGGCGAAGCGGCACGCAACGAGCAGGCAGGCGGCGGCATGCAGCACCGCAGGGCAACGCGGCACGCAGCGAGCAGGCGAGCGGCGGCAAGCGGCAGCGACGAGCAGGCGGCGGCGCGCGGGGCGACGGCCAACGCGCGCGGTCGCGCGCGCCCCGCGCTCAAATCCCGAGCGCGGGGCGCGCGCCCCAGGCGCGCACAAACCTGTGGTACCTGCGCGCGGCCGCGGCGGGCAGCGGCCGCGCGCGGGGGCGCGCGGGCCTGCCCGCATCGCCTGCGGCGCGCCGCGGCGCGCGCGAGCCAAGCGGCGGCGCGGCGACTGCTCGCGCCTGCGTCCGCCGCGTGCGCCTGGGGCCAGCGAATGTGCGCGATGGAACCAGGGGCCGAACTCGCTCCATACATTAAAGCGCATTGCCACACCATTCCTTCCTAGACTGCTGACGTAGAGCTGCGCAGACTCTTTGGTGGCTGCTTCAAATTTAGTCGATAACTGCTCGCCAAACTGCGCTGAAATATGCCACCAATCACGGGGGTGCACTTCGGGGTGGTCGTGGATATGCTTGCGCAGCGCGGTGACCTGCGAGTCGAGTCGAACACCCAGACCTTCGCCAGGGTATCTCTCCACAAGGCACGCTTGCTGAAGTGAAGTCGCCGCAGGGTGATTGTGAAGCTCCACAGTCTGCTTCGCCGTCAACTCAATTTCATGCCACACAGGATAGAGCCACTGCCAACCGCGCGATATAAGCACTGGGACCTGCGCGTGGTCTTTGCGCCTAAGAACTGGAACCCGCCGCCGAGCAAGATAACTATGCCGGGTGAGTTTCTTGATCGGGAAGCCGGGGGCGCCCGCGATCTCCATCTCAGCGCCCTCTAAAAACGCAGTCCAGGCCTAACTAAGCTCTGCCCCAGCCTTGCCAACTGAGTCAAACTCTGCTGAAAATGCTGCCTCATCTGCCATCTGCCGAGCTGCCGCAAAGCTGCGCGGTTCAGGTCGAGGGCCGAAAAGGAGAAAGCACAGGGAACCAAGTATGAGCCCAATCGGCCAATTGCCGCAACTTGACTGCGTCAGCTCGAAGGTGCAGTCCTACAGGCGTGTGAGGCCCCCCGTGACACTGCGAGAAAGCACAAACCTTTTCAAAAACCCTGGCGATCTCATGAGACGCCAAAAAGAAATCAAAATAACTAGCCGAAGCGGACATGATGCATGTGTGCCGTTCAGGAGCAATCGTGACGAGACCAGCTTTGCGCATGAACCCACTCTGCTCAAGCACCTTGGGCTCCACTTTCCAGTCCGCTGCCGCCAGGAAGGAACCTGCAGATCGGTTGATCGAAGCACCAAGAACTGACAACAAACGCATACTATCTGAGTCCAATCCGACACTATCATGAAGTGATGCAAAATACACCACCGATTCAGGCCAAACTGGGAGATCAACAGCTGCTGAAATAAGTCGGCCTTTCACGAGCTCGCCTCCTGTGGGCTCCCGACGAAATCCAAACTGTTGTCGAACAAAGATGGCGATTCCAACAGAATGAGAGCCACGTGCACAACATCGAGACGGACTGCAGAGAGAGCGGGAACCCAGAGCACGAGCAGCGCGCTGAAGATCAGGTACTGCATCAGGACCTGTGCCTATCTCCTGAGCACAAGACACCACTGGATCAAAACATCGCAAACGTCCAGGCAGAGTGGCACGGCAATTCCCATTGAAAGCCTCAAAGAACTCTCGGCCAGAATCCGCAGCAGAAGACGACTTGGAACCCTTGCGCTGTGGACTGTGGAGCGACATGGCCCATATCAGAGACAAAGAGGCCACTCAAGTAGGGCAGGTCCGGAAGACGGTGTGCGCGGACGCTTGGCTCCCAAAGCATCCAACTACTGCTCGAACGTGCGCTTATCATTCGTATGCTTGAAGAGAGCTCCGATATCTTCAGAAGAGATTCCATCAAACTGCGGCGCCTGCGGCATGGCAGCATCCTGTCCTGCTGCATCGCCCTGTCCTTGGCCTCCCCCATCTCCTCCAGCTCCTACCCCAGAAGAAGTAGACGAGGAGGGGCAGCCTTTTTTATAGACCTCCTGGAACTTGGCAGAGCTGGCCAAGAGCTGCTTAACGTCAGCGTTCGACTCGTCATCCAGGACCTCTGGACGAAGCTCAAACTTGATCTCCGTCGCCTGAGGAGCCGCACCTGCTGGCATCGTGCGGCGCAGCTCCTCCTCCAAGGCCGCCACCTCCCGCTGGACGGCGGCCTCCTTCTCCTGCAGCTTGAGAAGTGACTGTTGAGCCGCCTCGATGAGCTTTTTCTGGGCGAGCACGGCCTCAGCAGCCTTGGACTGCTTGCGTTGGGCCGTCTGTAGCCTGAAAGCCACATTGGTGTGCTGCTGCAAGACTGGCTTGGCTTCGCGCTGAGCCTTGCGTGCATCACGAAGTTCAGTTTCAAAACATTGCTTGGCTGGATCGTCGGAACCGACGTCGCGAAGCTGCTTGAGAGCCTTCTGAAGGGACTCGACGCGGGTGCCTCGCTGCTCCTGCTCATCACCAGGAGTGCCAGAACCACCATCATCAGCTGTCGGAGGCTGGGAGCCTGCGGCATTGCCATTCTTCGGGTCCTTGAGAGACTTGAGCTTCTGATCAAACTTTTTTTCGAGGGCCGCCGTGATGGTGGCGACCAGGTCGGGCGTGGACGGGCCATTGGCCCACACTCCCTTCGGCGGCCTCGGAACAGATGGGGTTGGCCGCTGTCCCCACTCCTTGCCGGCTTTGCGCGCTGCTTGAACCACACGGCCAGGAGCAGCAGCACCGCAAAGGCACTTGATACGACAAGCCCAATTCCCAGTTCGTGAACACTGCGAGCAGGGCCATAAGGTTGTCGTGGGCCGGGCCCCGCAGTGGAGGAAGGTCATGTCCTGCTCGCATAGCTCGTGCACCGAGGGAGCCCGCCACACGTGCGGAGATGCCGCCTGGAGGAGGGAGGGACATGGAGAGGGCAGGGTGGAGAAGGCAGCGAGGGGTGAGGGGAGAAAGAAGGAGGAGGGAAGGCATGGAGCAGCAAGGATGAGGAAGTCGGGGGGGGAGACGATGGAGGAGGCGAGGGAAGAAGAGGTAAAAGGAGAATGAAGACGAAGGGCCGAAGAATCCGGTAGGATGAATGACAGGTGCTGATGGGCCAAATCAACAACATCCGCTACCAGCCCGTCTGAGGAACTCCAATGTATCCTTCTCCTGCTTTTTCTCAACCCCCCTTCTGCCTCATCTTTCTCCGTTCATCTCCCAGCGAGCTGGAGCGAAATGAATTCCATGCCCCGCCCACCAAGCGATTGCCAGTCATGTTAAAGCAAACGTCCAACACCTCGTGGGGGAGAGAGGCTAGTCGAGGGAAACCCAGCAGTGCAAACGGAACGACTGCACAAAGATATATAGAGAGAGATAAGAAGAATGCTCTCGACAACTTCTGTGGCTGGGTGCCTGCAGGAAGGAGTGACTGACGCGTGACTGAACCATATACGTGAAGTCACTTTGCGGCAGATTACCTGTTCGTGTCTGAACCGTACAATAGAGAAGTCGCAGAAGCAACACGGTGGTACTGTAGTCGTTACGCGTCGAATCTTCAAGTTCAACATGCTTCTCGCCGTCCCTCATGATCGTCCTGTTCAATGTATGACACATACTTAGTCCTGTCCCCCGTCATCATACGATGGTCCTGGTGCACCTGACCATACTTATGATTTCTAGGGGTTTGCATTCACCCTCATGCACTTCGATTCCGTCGCACGCACACACACACACACTCGTGCTAGAAGAAGCGGGCACTATCTCAGCCCACGGTGGAGACAGCCAGAAGCGACGGGTAAGACCGCACGCGCGTCGGTCACGCAACGGCTGCGATAGTATTCACCCTGGGTGGCAACATAACAAATTGATTGTTGCTGCGCGGTACCCAGACGTCGCAGACGTGACTATTGCATCGGGGAATATTGAAACATAATTGCATCAGCAGGGACCACCACATGCAGCGGGGGGCGGGAGATAAACGAGAGGCGCCCCGATGCGTACCGTTAGCGAGACTAAAACAAACAGCTCGTAGAACTGAGGATCGCCACGCTCGCTGTAGCCGCGGTCGACGCAGTGAGTGGAACCGTGTGGGTGCATATCAAAATCCGGGGGTTGACAATGCCAGTTTCCTTCGTCGAAATAAATAGCCTTCCACTGTGTAGGTGCAACGCACACACACAGACACGCACACACCGACACACACACACACGCACTTTCTGGCGGTCGCGGCCTCGCGCGCGGCGTCAAGGCGGAGAAAGGTCGGAGCCGGTGCGTTCGCGGCTGGGCGATCTCACACACACACACAGACACAAACACACACGCACACGCATGCGCACACGCATACCCACACACACACGCGCACACACGCACGCACGCACGCAGGCAAGCACGCACGCACACACGCGCATGCGCACGCACTTTTTGCCGGTCCCAGCCTCGCGCGCGGCGTCGGGCCAGAGAAACGCATACACACACACGCACACACAGACGCACACGCACGCACGCGCACGCGCACACGCACGCGCACGTGCACGCGCAAGCGCACGCGCACACACACAAACATACACACACACACACACACACGCGCACCCACACACACACACACACACGCACGCACGCACGCACGCGCCACGCGCACGTGCCCGCGTACGCGCACGCACGAGCGCACACACACGCGGACGCGCAGGCGCCACGCGCACGCGCACGCACGCGCACACGCTTACACACACGCACCCGCACCCGCACACGCACCACGCGCAGGCACACGCGCATGCGCACGCACACTGTACCTGCACACGAACGAATACATATACACATATACACACAAGCACTTGGTCAGCAGCACGCACACACACACACGCACGCACACACACACACACACACACGCGCGCACGCACACACACGCACACACACACACACGCGCGCATGCACGCACGCGCATGCGCACGCACACACGCACGCGCACGCACGCGCACACACACACACACACACACACACACACACACACACACACACACACACACGCGCACGCGCCACGCGCACGTGTACGCACACGCACACGCGCACGCGCACGCGCACGTACATGCACACGCAAACACACACGCCCACGCACACGCACATGCACACGCACCACGCACACGCAAACGCAAACACACACGCTTACACACAAACGCACACACACACACACACGCACCACGCACACGCACCAGGCACACGCAAACGCACACGCACACGCACCACGCACCACGCACACGCACATGCACCCGCACACGCATACACCACTGAACACGCATCATGCACCAAGCACCGCGGAACACGCACCACCCACCACGCACCATGCACCACGCACACGCACACGCACATGCACACGCACCGCGCGCACGCACACGCACAGGCACAGGCACACGCACCACGCACACACGCACACGCAAACGCACACGCACACACACACACACCACGCACACGCACCAGGCACACGCACACGCAAACGCACACGCACCACGCGCACGCACACGCACCCGCACACGCACACACCACGCACCACGCACCATGCACCACGCAATACGAACCACGCAAAATGAGCCACGCACCACTCACCACGCATCCCGCATCACGCACCACGCACCACCCACCACGCATCACTCATCAAGCACCACGCTCCACGCACCACGCATCACGCACCACTCGCACGCGCACGCGCAAGCACATGCACGCCCAAATTCACACGCACAGGCACAGGCACAAGCACACGTACCACGCACACGCACACGCAAACGCACACGCACACACAGACACACACACACACACACACACCACGCACACGCACCATGCACACGCAAACGCACACGCACAAGCACCACAGACGCGAACGCGCACACGCACCCGCACACGCACACACCACGTCCCACGCACCACGCACCACGGACCACGCACCACGCGCCACGCACAATGCACCACGCAATACGCACCACGCACAGAGAGCCACGCACTAATCACCGCGCATCACGCATCACGCACCACACACCACGCACCATGCACCACGCGCACGCACACGCACATGCAAACGCACCACGCGCACGCACACGCACAGGCACAGGCACAGGCACACGCACCACGCACCACGCACACGCAAACGCACACGCACACACACACACACCACGCACACGCACCAGGCACACGCACACTCAAACGCACACGCACCACGCGCGCGCACACGCACACGAACCCGCACACGCACACACCACGCACCACGCACCACGTACCATGCGCCACGCGCACGCGCACGCACATGCACATGCACACGCAAACACACACGCACACACACACACACACACACACACACGTACACACGCACAGGCACATGCACACGCACCACGCACAAGCAAACGTAAACGCACACGCACAATGCACCACGCACACGCACCAGGCACACGCAAACGCATACGCACACGCACCACGAACGCGCACACGCACACGCACCACGCACACGCATACACCACGCACCACGCACCACTCACCGCGGACCACGCACCACGTACCACGCACCATGCACCACGCAATACGCACCACGAACCACTCACAACGCATCACGCATCACGCACCACGCACCACGCACCACGCACCACGCGCACGCGCACGCGCACGCGCTTACGCTCACGCACACGCGCACGCACATGCCACCACCCACACAACCACACAGCCACGCAGCCACACGGTCACTGTTTTGGCATTAGCGGCCTGGCGCGCAAGGACAAGGCGGAGAAAGTGCAACAGTCAGCACAGCGCTCGCGACGGCGGGGCACTCAAAATTCGCTCAGGATACAAGCCTGCGGGCATCGGCCATCTGTGTATATATAGTAGGGATGGAACCCATACACACATACACACCACAACACACATACACACACTGTTTTGGAATCGTGGCCAGGCGCGCGGCGGCGCGGCGTAGGGCAAGTCGAGCGGAAAAGCGGCGCGCGGCCCGGGCCAAGTCAAGCAGCATCACTCACACACACACACACACACACACACGCACACACACACACACACACACACACACACACACACACACGCACGTAGCGTTGTTCCTCTAACGCGCGGAAGAGAGGTGCGGAGTGAGAGACAGGTAACGCTCGTAGGCGGATGAGCTCAAAAAATTGGACGGTTCAGAAAAGGGAAGCAAAGGAGGAGCAAGGGGCCACCGCAAGAACTGCGCCAACTGCCAGGTGCGAGTGCGAGGAGGCTGACGGCGGACTAAGCTGAGGGCAAGGCGAAACGGACGCAACCCGCAAGATGAGGCCAGCTGAGAGAAATTACTCCGACGGTAGGACCCCGCATGAGAATATGTTTAGCTTACCCTTTGCCCTTTCCTCCTCCCCCTGGCGGACACCCTCTCCTCTCGCCCTCTGCACTGCCCTCTATTCCTCCTTCTATTTCTCTTCCTCCTTCTCCTCCTCCTCCTCCTTCTCCTCCTCCTCCTCCTCCTCCGCCTGAGATTTCCTCGCAATTCACTCACAGACGAGGCTCCCGCTTGAGACTTCCTTCACATTCAAGCCTCAGGAGCCCAAAAGTGACGACAGTTATACGTTTCAGGAAGACCCGCTCGGATTCCAACATGAAGTGCGGGCCCCATAGGGAGGGGGCTCCCGCCGGAGACTTCCTCGCAATTCACTCACAGACGAGGCTCCCGCTCGATATTTCTCCCATATTCAAGCCTCAGGAGCCCAAAAGTGACGACAGTTACACGTTTCAGGATGACCCGCCTCGGATTGGTAACATGATTTGCGGGCCCCATAGGGAGGGGGCTCCCGCCTGAGACTTCCTCGCAATTCACTCACAGACGAGGCTCCCGCCTGATACTTCTTCCGTAATCAAACCTCAAGAGCCAAAACTGACGACAGTTACAAGTTTCAGGATGACCCACTCGGATTCGTAACATGATCTGCGGGCCCCATAGAGAGGGGGCTCCCGCCTGAAACTTCTTCGCAGTTCACTCACAAACGAGGCGCCCGCGCGATACTTCTTTCATATTCAAGCCTCAGGAGCCCAAAAGTGACGATAGTTACACGTTTCGGGATGACCCGCTCGGATTCGTAACATAATCTGCGCGCCCCATAGGGAGGGGGCTCCCGCCGGAGACTTCCTTGCAATTCACTCACAGACGAAGCTCCCGCCTGATACTTCCTCCATATTCAGGCCTCAAGAGCCCGAAAGTGACGACAGTTACAAATTTCGGATGACCCGCTCGGATTACCAACGTGAACTGCGGGCCCCACAGGGAGGGGGCTCCCGCCTGAGACT